GACCCAGAAATGCGGTGAGTCAGACAAGGGTGCAAAGGAAGTCAGAGAGAAGGAGTCACTGCGTATGCCTGCCTCTCAGAAGCAGCAGCAAAGGGAAGATGATCTCTCTCTCTCTCTCTCTCTCTCTCTATCACACACACATACACACACACACACACCCTGTTCTGCCTCTCTGCTCTGTCTCCTTGCTCAAGCGGACCCATCACATCACTGCACAATAGCCCAGCTCCCATCACATCACTATAACCAGGCTTTCATCACATCACTGCACAATAAACCAGCTTCCATCACATCACTGCACAATAACCCAGCTCCCATCACATCACTGCCCAATAACCCAGCTCCCATCACATCACTGCACAATAACCCAGCTTCCATCATATCACTGCACAATAGCCCAGCTCCCATCACATCACTGCACAATAACCCAGCTTCCATCACATCACTGCACAATAACCCAGCTCCCATCACATCACTATAACCAGGCTTCCATCACATCACTGCCCAATAACCCAGCTTCCATCACATCACTGCACAATAACCCAGCTCCCATCACATCACTGCCCAATAACCCAGCTCCCATCACATCACTGCACAATAACCCAGCTTCCATCATATCACTGCACAATAGCCCAGCTCCCATCACATCACTGCACAATAACCCAGCTTCCATCACATCACTGCACAATAACCCAGCTCCCATCACATCACTGCCCAATAACCCAGCTCCCATCACATCACTGCACAATAACCCAGCTTCCATCATATCACTGCACAATAGCCCAGCTTCCATCACATCACTGCACAATAACCCAGCTTCCATCACATCACTATAACCAGGCTTCCATCACATCACTGCACAATAACCCAGCTTCCATCACATCACTATAACCAGGCTTCCATCACATCACTGCACAATAACCAAGCTCTGGAAGTTGGGCTGACAACAGTGGGGGAGTTTCCAGGTGATCCTGCCAGACCCTGAGTGGGTGTCGTAGTGACACTGAATCCCTGTGTCTCCCAACAGACTGCCATGGTGAGGCTGAGGGATTGTCTGAGGAGGCAGAATAGAGGGTCCAGAACGTGTATTTCAGAAAAGCAAAGAACCACTGACGCTGGCTGGAGGCATGAAAGGCGATGCATGACTGAGGACTCCCACCTCCTCAGCAGGATTCGGGCCGTTTTTCGTCCGTGGATTCCTTCAGCTGTCTGGAGGAGCCTAGGCACACGTCTTCCAAATGTTTGAAAAAGCTGACTATAAAGGATATGAGGCTACAGAGGGACATCTAATAACATCCATTTGTGAAACAGTTCTGTGTGCGCCTCCTTATTCATTCCGTAAGTAATAGGGTCGGGCAGGAGATTTAATAAGTGCCATGATTTAGAATCAGACATGCGCATAACGACATTGTGAAGTCGGCAACAGCCACAGTGTGCTCTGAAGCTGTCTGCGGTCTCCTCGGGAACGAAGTCACGGATGCTGTTAATACTCCTGTGCTACGCTGTTTATATTCCCACTTACAGGAAATGCTAGCTTTCAGTTAGAGGTTAGTGAAAATAACGATGTAAGGTTTTCCTCTCTGAGACCCTGAGCCCTTTAAATTCTATCGCAGACCCTGGGGCGGGGGCGGGAAGGAAGGTGTATGGACCTGAGGTTAAGAACTCCTGGAAAACCTCAAATTTCTGTTCACCATCACTACAAACCTCAGCTTCACCCAACCACTCGGGGCCAGGAATCAGATTCCCAGGCGTGGCCTGCAAATCCAAGGAAATTTCCCAGCCAGCACAGCCAGTGACTACGCAGACGTGGCAGTCACGCCGAATCCTTCACACAGCCCAGTCCTCAGTGACTATGGGAATCTAGAACCTTCTTCCCAGCCCCATGCCCTCTCTTCAAAGAACATCTTCAGAGAGCCTTCCCCAACCCCTCCCCCCTTGTCAACATGTGCCATGTCCACCTCCCTGCTGTCACCTGCCACCCCAACACCACCTCCGTCATTTTCTTTGAAATGTCAACTGCGCTGTCTTTGTCTGTTTACTCTATCTGGGTCATGGCTGCCTCAGCCTGAGCACAATGACAAGCCAACGAACACTGAACTCTCAGCTTCACCACATTCACACCCGAAGATGCAGCCCCAGCTTGCCCCGATCCTTGTCACGTGGGAGGGAACCAGGTGAGGGGATGTGGATGGATGGGTCTCACGTACCCACCACCGTTTCATGTGCCCCTGCTGAGCTAGCACCGGGCAGCAAAGGCCTGCTGCCTGCATGCACGTGTGGAGAAATCACTCAGATGCTATCCCACAGGGCTGGACACGGCGATGCATTTATTTGTCAACAATGTCCTATTGAGCACCTACTGGGTTCCAGGTACCGAGTAGGTTCTGGAAAGAAACATGCAAGTCAGCAGATCTGAAAGATCGCATCCAATTGTCACAAGTGCTATAAAAGAATGTGGACGGGACATATGCAATAGGATAATGGGGAGGGGTGCTTTATTACATGGGGCAGGAGATAAAGTCCTCCCTGAGAACGTAAAATTTAAACAGAAAGAGACTTAAGGATAACAAGGAGCCATCGGCGTGGAAAGGCAGAGGGAAACAGGAGGGGGTGGTGTCTTTAAGAGGGGTCACAATTCCAGACTGCCCACGAAAGGAGGAGCTGGCATGAGTTTGGCTCGTGAGGTAGCTGCCAGATCAAGCTCAGGGAGTGGCGTGGAATGCCAACAGCGTAGACTCCAGAATCCGGCTCTCAAACTTCTCTAGCTGAGTGACCTTGGGGAAGTCACTTACCCTCTCTGAGCCTTAGCTTCCTCATCTTGAAACCGGGACCAACATATATGTCCTTCATGGAGTTGCTAAATGCCTTAAGTGTAGAGCGCTTAGAACAGTGCCTAGTGCACAGTGCGTGCCCTGCAAGGGTCTGCTCTGACGTGTTCCACACTCAGTGAGCAGTGATGGGGGATTGACAGCTGTTTGTCTTTAACAGATTATGGGCCATTGTGGGGGTCATCAATAAGATGGAAGAGTTGGAAGGGAGCCCAGGGCTCATGCACTACAACCCCTTCCCAGGGGTCCTCTCTGAGAAGGGGAGGGGTTGCGCCTGAGGAGCCACCACTGGGAAAGGCAGAAGAATGGCTGTCCCTTTAGGGCACTGGGCTGCAGAGAAGGTTGAGGGGCAGCAGGACACCGCTTCTGGAGAAGGGCACATCCACCACCGCCCTGCTTCCCCAGCAGGGAAACCGCTCCTGCCATTTCCAGGTCATTTCCAGGCGCACACCCCGCTGCCCAGCTGGCTGCTGTTCCTGCCGGTGTCAGTGTCACTTTTGTTGGAATGTCAGTGCCTCAAGGACAGCAGCCATTTCCTCCTACTCCCACTATACAGTGACTGACGCAGGCCCCGCGCACCAGCGACTCAGAGCGTTTGAATAATTGATGGAGAGGAACGTGGAATTGTAGCACGGTGGTGCCACTCCTGGACTCTAAGCTCCAAAAGGAATCCAAGGGCCTTGGGAGTCCTTAAGTCATGCCCCTGCCCAGGCCAGCTCCTCAAACGCTCCAGCCAGACCCTCTCCTCCCATCCCCAGAGGACATTTTGCTCTCCCACCTTGGGATGCATCCGGGTTCACAGCCTATGCGGGGAGCTCCTTCCAAACCGCTTCCCGGGGCCCCTGTGCTGCACTGTTCAGTGGGGACACCACTTATGTCCTGCCCGAAGGCCCCCCGGAGACAAGCCAGTGCAGAGGATAAGAGCCCTCCTGTCTCCAGGGACATCTTCAGATACATCTGGACGGCGAGGAGTGGGCGCGGAGAGGTAGAGGGGGGGCGGGAGGAGACAGAGCAACCCCTCTGTGCTGTGTAGCAGCTGAGGGCTGCTGGGTGAGGCCAGACTCCTCAGTCCTCTCCACGTTCCCTGCCTTTCCAGACCCCAGGCACTCCTGGTCCAGCTGACCCCTCTGCAGCCCGCCCCGCCCCCCACCTGTGCAGCAGCCCCTCCCTTCTGGTTTGGGGTGATTTTCCTTCTCAGCTATGTGAGTGCTCTCCCTACACCAGCCCATGATGCCTCCTTCCCCACCTTCTCTTCCCTCTCACTGTCCCCTTCCTCCTCTCCCCAGCTCTGCAAGCTTCCCATTCTCCACATTTCTTGTGTCTCCTTCCCCACCTTCCCCACGGCTCCTCCCATAACCCCCTCCACCACATTCCCCACCCCAGACTCCCTCTCCCCGCTCCTCCCGCCCCACGCTCCCCTCCAAGCCCCCCACATTCCACTCCCAGCCCCAATTCCTGTCCAAGTCCCCTTTCCCTCCCGCTTCGCCCTTGCTGTCCCCATTCCTCTCCCGTCCCCAAGTCCAAGTCTCTCATCGCCTAATGACCACCCCCTGCCGACCCCCGCCCGGCTTCGGCCCCTCAGCCAGGTCCGCCGCCCCCGCCCCCTCCCTGCCCAGCTCTGCGGCGCAAGCAGAGCCCCCACGCCGGCTCCCGCACCCCAGGTCCCAGCCGCTGCACCGGGACACCCCGCCTCTCCCCGGGAGGCCGAGGCGCCGCCCGCTCACCTGTTGGGCGGGCTGGAGCACGCCGGGTCTCGCCTTCTCCGGGTCGGGGTCCCGGTCCCGCTGCAGCAGCCCCTTCTTGGGGTGCATGTGCCGGCACAGGCAGGTGACCCCGCACAGAGCGAGGATGCTGGTGGCCGTGCCCAGCGTGGCGCCCAGCGCGATCACGGGCACCGACAGCACCATGGTGCCCGCTCCGGGCGCGGGCTCAGTCCGCCGCCGCGCGCCTATCCGGGCCGGCCCGCCGCCCACCGCCTCCCGCCGCCAGGAAGCTCGGGGCTCCGGCGCCGGCAGCTCTCCCGCCACCGGAGGGCGGAGGGGCGGAGGGCGGGGAGGGCGGGCGGCTGCGAGGACGTCAGAGGAGGGGCCAGCCGAGCCCGCCCGCGGCGCCCGCACTCAGTACCGCGTTGACGCGAGCACCCTTCCCGCCAACACGTGACCGGACCCCCGACCCCCACAGCCAGAGCCTTCAGTGGCAGGAGCCCTGGGATGGCCTCAGGGCTTCCCTGGCGCTGTATGTGCGAAAGACATTGTGCCCAGAAGGCGCAGTCACACTGCTGCGGGGAGAACCGCGCCCCTGGCTCCTCCTGGGTAGGTACGGCTGCCCCCCTGGTGACCCCTCTGGTGAGGAGGCTAGAACCCTGGTTCCTCCAGGAGCCTTTCGGGCACCGGCACACCGAGCTGGAGGGTCCCGTCTCAGGAACTTGAATGTGCCAGGTGTTTGCTACCTGGGAGAGAGGCAAGCTCTGGGTGGAGGGCATCGGTGCTGGGGAAGATGATTGGGCTGATTCTATACACACCTGCATCTCCTTTAGCACCGAACCGTAATTCACCTTTGTTATCTAAGGTGAGCAGCTGGTCTTCTCAAGTCCACTTGCTGATGAGGAGGCTGAGGCCCAGAGGGGATGTGGGGCAGCTGGAAAAACCCTGCCCTTCCTGAACTACACTCGGGTTTGCGGGTTCAAGTCCACCCCTTACACTTAGAGGAAGGGTTTGTCTCAGAAGGACAAGGCGTATCAGGTGCAGCAGCCAGGAGCCCACACTTGAGCGGAGGGGGAGATAAGAGAGGGATGCTCCCCGGGGAGAGGAGAGCTCCAGGCATGAGGAGGGTTGTCTTAGATCCCAGGACAGTGATGGGCGGTGTTCTTCATTATGTGGGGTGGCTGAGTCAGCAAGTCTTTGCAGCGAGTGGCTGTGCTCTGGGCGTGCTGGGCACCTGTGCTGTAGGGGTGCTGGGCACGTGTGAGAGGGCAACGCCACCCACAATAGGGCTTTCAATTTCCCACGAAGTTGATGACGCCCCAAACTGATAGCTCCAGCCAGACCTGTCCTGCTGAGCGGCAGCAGTGACCACCACCTGGTGCCTCTTCATGCACCAGGGACCTACCCCTGCCGAATAAACCACTGCCAGGGTTAGGGGTGCAGACCCCCCCCCCCACACACACAGTTGAAAATCCTCATGTAACATTTGACTCCCCCAAAACTTGACTCCCTAATAGCCTACTATTGACTGGAAGCCTTACCATTCACATAAACAGTCAACACGTATTTTTTATGTTACATGTACTACGTACTACATTCTTACAATAAAGTAAGCTTGAAAAAAATAAAATGTTATTAAGAAAATCATAAGGAAGAGAAAATACATTTATTGAAAAACATACACATGTCTGTGGACCCACGCAGTTCAGCAGTTCAAACTCATGGTGTTCAAGGGGCCACTGTATTTTGTTTCTTCTCATGATTTTGTGGGTTGACTGGGCTCAGCTGGGCGGTTTTCCTGCTGCACATGGTGTCTTCTTGGACTGCAGTCCGCTGGGCTGGAATGTCCAAGATGGCAGACCACATGGGGAGCAGTGGTGCTGACTGCCGTGGAGCACAAGTGGGCCGTCCTTCGTTGCACTTTGATGCTCCCCCACGTGGCTAGAGCTTCTAACAGTGTGTCAGCCAGGTTCCAAGTGGAAGCAGGAGCTGCCAGTTCTCTTGAGGCTTGTGTTCAGAAGTTCTAGAACATGGTTTCTTTGGTCAAAGCAATAGTCTTCCTCTAATCCTTTCCATACTGAACATCTAAAAAGGATGTTTCTGAAATGCAAAGCTGACACTGTCACTCACATGCATATAAGCCGTCAGAGATTCTCCAGAGATAAACTCAAGAGCCTCCAGTTAGATCCAAAGCCCTTTGTGACGTGGTCCCTGTCAATCCCTTCTGACTTCCCTCTGCACATTTCCCAGCATGCCCTTGAGCCCTATCCACTCCCAGGGAGTGGGGTTTCATTCAGTGAGTTAGTGTCTTTAGAGCCACCCCTGGGTGCATACAGCAGGCACTCAGTAACTGCTGAAAGGATGAATGACTATCATGATCATCTCATGCAAGACTCCCAGTGAGTTGGAAGGAGTCCCATTTGCTAAATAGCTCCATTTGATTACATTGATTCTTCCAAGTATTTATTTTGTGCCTGCTGTATGCCAGGCACATTTGCCTGCTGAGCTGCATTTGCTGCCAGCTGTGAAGCCAAAGCGCCCCAGTCCCTGGTGGTAGACTTAGCATTCTCTCTCATAAGAGCTTCCCTGGGAGGTCTTCTTGGCTCCTGAGCCTGGCAATACAAAGTGTTCTGGGGGAATAAGAGGTTTAATTAATGCTGTCAGTCCAGATCTCCCATTCTGAGCTGATCCTCTGGGAGACCTCAGTGCCATGGAGCAGGATCCAGGGTGGGGGTGAGGGGAAGGATGAAGAGCACTTAATATCAGACACTGTCTGATAGGGATCAGACAGCTGTCATGTGGTCCATTGTTACTATGGTTACTAGGATGACAGTGACTATCAGTGCCCTTCATCTTTAACAGGAAGAGGGACCCCAGTCCAAGAAGAACAGCTTGCCTTTTGCCTCTTTCACACACACAGAACCCATGGCAGGGCTAGGGCAGACCTCCGGACATTTGAATCCAGTCAAGTCATCAGGACTCTAGGTCACCTTGGCTACATCAAAGATGCAATTTTTTGCTTCTTGGTTATTGATATTCAGGCAGTAGCTTTTAATGGCAGCTCTCTAAGGAAAGGCATCAGGGGGTCCCTTTGAAAAACTAGGTTATCTTTATTGAGAAAGGCGGTTGACAGAATCAGCCGAGTGGAACAGTTGAGACAGTCTAAGGAGGAGGCCTGAAAATCATTGGAAATGCTGGGGCCACCAGACTACAAGGGCAGACAGAGCAGAAACATTGGGGGACCTTCTGGAAGGTTCCCCAGTCTCTCGATAAAATGTCACCATTGCTATTTAGATCAATAATTTACTCATTGGATCATTACATAAACTGAGTAGCCACTCTGAATTTCCAAGATATTAAAATACTTTTATCTGAGGAAAGTGTTTCAAATATACAAGGTTCTCTTATTAGCAAACATTTGTATCTGCCTGCATATCATGCTAGTCAGGAAGGAAAAAAAATACACAAGCAGAACTGAATTTTAACATGGGAAGGATTTCAGAGATCACTTTCATTTTCCCAATAGGGAAACAGGCCCAGAGAGATTGTGGCTTGCCAAAGGACAGGAGTGAATGGTAGAGCTGGGAATGTCTTGTAGGTCAGGGTAGGTTGCGTTCTGCTGCAGTAACAACCTCAAACTCTCAGGGATTAACTCAGTAAAAAGCATATCTCGCTCCTATCACAGTTTAAGGAGGGTCTGGTGACTCTCGTGGGCATCTCATCTCATCTCAGGAATCTGGACTTTTGCTGTCTGTGTCCCCTCTCCTTCCTGCCATGCAAATTGAAGAGAGAGCACGTTGAGGACCGCTTGTGCCATGGCTGCAAATAGAGTTCATAGTTTCCACCCCATCGCATTGGTCAGAATTTGGTAACAAAACAAATCTAACAAAAGAAACTGGAAAATATAAAGAAACATGAGCAAAAGCAGCCTCTGCCTCAGAAGCCAACGCTTAGGACTTCTTGTGCATGTTTCTAACTCATTCATGAGGTCAGCAAGGTTTCTGAGTTTCTCCCATGTACGAAGCACTGTGCTGAGTGAAGCAAAGATAGTGAGCGAAACCAGGCATGATCTCTCTCGTCATGCAGTTTACATTCCCGTGGAGAAGATGGACAGTAATCATTCATCACCCTAATACATGTGAAACTACAACTGTGATACGGGCCAAGAAGAACAGGTTCAGGGCTGGGCTTTAACTTCTTCTGACACCTAGGAAGGCTTCCCAGAGGAGGTAGCAATTGGACTGAGGTCTAAGAAAATAACATTAACTCCGCAAAGAAGAAAAAAGTACCCCAGGCCAAGATGCAGTATGTGCAAGGACCCTGTGGTGGAACCACACAGTGGGCGCGGGCAGCAGTGTGCTGTCAACCAGCTCTCAGGGGGAAGGCATGGGGGATTGATGTTTAGCATTTGTTGATTTCTCTGGTGCACATAAATCGACAGCACCGTCAATTTCCAGCTACCAACAAATTCCTGAATATTTACCAATTGGCTCTCTGAGCTGGTAGGAGCCAGCTCCAGCACACAGATGGGAGAATCTCTGTGTGAGATGAGCCTGAAGGAGAGGCAGGAGCCAGACCACAGGCCTGTAGGCCATAATGGAAGACCATTGGGTGTCTTTAGACGGGTTGCATATGATCAGATTTGTGTCTTAAAACCCCCCCCCCTGGCTTCAGTATTGAGAACATATTGGAGAGGGACAAAGTGGACACTGGTGGACTAGAGAGGAGGTCAGAGCAGGCATCCAGGAGAGGGACGCCACGCTTCCCTAAAGACATGTATAGCTAGATGGCAGCTGAAATTGTTGATGGCATGAGGACAGGGCAGGTGTGGTGGTCACTGTCTTTCTCTGCTGACCTCCACTTTTCAGCTCTGTGCTATCTCTTTCTCATTTGATGACTCTGGTTCTCCAACCTGGACCACTGCTAACTGGAGGTTCCCCTCCCAAAGGCAGGGTGTGAAGGAGGAAGCTGCCCCGGATAAAGGGGTAGGTATCCTGGGTCCTCAACAGAGTGACGCGGACTCAGGAATGCTGAGACACTGGCCATAGGGCCAGGAGGGAAGGTGCTCGGATGAGGCCCCGGAGTGAGGCCATTGTAACCCTAACCCACAGCTGCTCATCCCAGAAGCAGAGCTGCACTGACGGGCAGCGCATCACAGACACGTGACTGAGCCCACTGCAAGCGGAAACACCCAACCGAGCCCCCAAAGAGCCAACCACAGAATTAGATGGATTTAAGCAG